TATGTCGCTGTCCAGTTTTCCCAGCACCACTTGCTGAAGAGACTGTCTTTATTCCATTGGATATTTTTTCCTGCTTTGTCAAAGATGAGTTGGTCATACGTTTGTGGGACCATTTCTGGGTTCTATATTCTGTTCCATTGATCTGAGTGTCTGTTCTTGTGCCAGTACCATGCTGTCTTGATGATTACAGCTTTCTAGTATAGCTTGAAGTCCGGGATTGTGATGCCTCCTGCTTTGGTTTTCTTTTTCAAGATTGTTTTGGCTATTTGGGGTCTTTTCTGGTTCCATACAAATTTTAGGATTATTTGTTCTAGCTCTGTGAAGAATGCTCGTGTTATTTTGATAGGGATTGCATTGAATATGTAGATTGCTTTGGGTAGTATCAACATTTTAACAATATTTCTTCTTCCTATCCAGGAGCAGGGAATATTTTTCCATTTTTTTGTGTCTTCTTCGATTTCTTTCATAAGATTTCTATAGTTTACAGTGTATAGATTTTTCACCTCTTTGGTTAGATTTATTCCTAGGTATTTTATGTTTTTTGTGGTGCAATTGTAAATGGGATCGATTCCTTCATTTCTCTTTCTATTGTCTTCATTATTGGTGTATAGGAATGCAACTGATTTCTGTGCATTGATTTTATATCCTGCAACTTTGTTGAATTCACGGATCAGTTCTAGCAGTTTTTTGGTGGAATCTTTTGGATTTTCCATATACAGTATGATGTCACCTGTGAAGAGTGAAAGTTTGACCTCCTTCTGGCCGATTTGGATGCCTTTTATTTCTCTGTGTTTTCTGATTGCTGAGGCTAAGCCTTCCAATACTGTATTGAATAACAGTGGTGAGAGTGGACATCCCTGTCATGTTCCTGAAGCTTTCAGTTTGTCCCCATTGAGGATGATGTTAGTGTTGGGTCTTTTATATATGGCTTTTATGATCTCGAGGTACAATCCTTCTGTCCCTACTTTCTTGAGGGTTTTTATCAAGAAGTGATGCTGTATTTTGTCAAATGCTTTCTCTGCATCTGTTGAGAGGATCATATGATTCTTGTCCTTTCTTTAATTGATGTGATAAATCACATTGATTGTTTTGGGGATATTGAACCAGCCCTGCATCCTAGGTATAAATCCCACTTGGTCATGGTGAATAATTTTTTTAATGTATTGTTGGATCTGGTTGGCTAATATCTTGTTGAGAATTTTTGCATTCGTGTTCACCAGGGAAATTTGTCTATAGTTCTCCTTTTTAGTGGCGTCTTGGTTTGGTTTTGGAATCACGGTGATGCTGGCTTCATAGAAAGAGTTTGGAAATTTTCCTTCCATTTAGAAGTCAGTAAAACAAATAGAGTTCAGTGTACTAGAACTAAAATGATCTGTTTATCTCACCATTAGGTGAGAGGTGCTTTATGTAAGATATATGACAGGCAATGTCTTTAGCTACAGTTTTCCAAAAAGCTTAATGGTACTTTGTATGAGTGTTTGTGATATTGCCTCTGTGTAACATTAAATCTTGACCCAGAAAAGGCAGGGCTAAGGTCGTTTAAACTGAGCTTCCAAGGGGCGCCTGGGTGGCGCAGTCGGTTAAGCATCCGACTTCAGCCAGGTCACGATCTCGCGGTCCGTGAGTTCGAGCCCCGCGTCGGGCTCTGGGCTGATGGCTCAGAGCCTGGAGCCTGTTTCCGATTCTGTGTCTCCCTCTCTCTCTGCCCCTCGCCCATTCATGCTGTCTCTCTCTGTCCCAAAAATAAATAAACGTTGAAAAAAAAATTAAAAAAAAAAAAACAAACTGAGCTTCCAGCTTCCTAATAATATATAGAAGAATGGATCACATTCATATGGCATATCAAGTATGGGCTTTCACACCTACAGGTCAGACAGTGTTTTGGGGCAGGTGCTAAGTGTCCAGTCAAGTCCAGGTTGACTCCTCTAAATGAGTATGAATAATACCAAGATTCATAGTTGATTTTTAGAGACATCATTACACCTAAAATGCCAGGTGGACAGGGAGTGGAGCTTGCTTCTCCGCAGAAGCATTGAGGAGCTCAACTGGTACCAACTTCCAGACAGAGAACCACTTTTTTTCTGATACCAGTTGCCTGTCATGGACCTGCTGGCAAGGGCAAAACTTTTCTCAGAAGTAGAGCTTTGAATCTGCTCAAGCCCTTATACAAATTTTTATGGGCGTGTTTAGAATTCCGATCCATAAGGCATAGGAAAATTCATTTATTTGAGCTTGAGCAATTTAAAAGACAGGTGTTCCCAGTGATCTTCCTCAACCACAAAGGAGACCCGGGATGATGTCTGTAAGTTGTCTAATTTTGGGCAGACCTACTTTGAGTAGACCCATCAGGAAGCATTAGTTCCATAGAAGAACCATAAGTAGCTATGTTGTCTTATGATTAGGGTTATTCAGTGTTGCTTATTTGAAGAGGTGTGGGATACTTGCCAACTCTAACAACTTTTGTTTTTAGTCTAGTTGATGCCATGGTTTTCTTTTTCATAGTACTGAGCCAGCAAGTTCACTTTCAGCCTGAGGCCACTTGGAGTTTATGATTGTAAAACCATATTATGAGCATAATGCTTATCCTTCTCCCATGGCAGGAGGGCACACAGCATGCTGATTAATTGCAGTCTTGAATTTACTATTTTAGAAAAAGTAGAGAAGATAGGAGGAGGAGGAGATTTCAAATCATTGAATAAAAAAAATAGCCCATTTAATAAGTAGTGATGAGATGACCATGATGGGTGTTGGAGCAAAAGAGCTACCTTGCTTCTTCTAACAAAACAAGTTTCA